CAGCGGGTAAAGATTAATTTATTGAGAAGACTTACAAGTGACTTCCTATGTTTTCTGCTGACATGATTCTTTTTTGTTCTATTGCTGTGATGCGGGATTGAACCATATCCAGGGCCTGAAGCATGCTGGGAAAGTGCTCTCCCACTGATCCATACCCCAGCCCAAGATCAATGTTTCCAGAGATGACTGATAATACAAGAAAGAGATGGCACAGTGGTACACATCTGTAACCTTGATACTTAGGAGGTAAAACCAGAATAATTTCAAGTTCAAGTCTAGTGTGGATTGCACAGGGAGATCCTGTCTCAAAAATCAAATCCCTGAAATGGGAGAGATGGCTCAGAAGTTAAGAGCATTGGCTGTTCTTCCAGAAAACCTGGGTTCAATTCCCAGCACCCACATGACAGCTTACAGTTATCTGTCTATAATTCTTCCTCCAGGGGTCACACACCCCCAAACAGACATACATGCAGGCAGAATACACCAATTCACATAAAAGAAAAATAAAAAAAAATCAAATTCATTTCTTAAATGAATTTGGTTCAGTTGGTGGGTGTCTTCCCATATAAGGTTGGAAAGGGCCACTCTGAATTAGTGTAAATGGGCCATTTGAATAGACAGAGAGATGGAGCAGAAATGACTTAAACACAGCTGCATCACCAAGCCTATCCCAGCATGGGAACCTGTGTCACAAAGCTGGGAACCAGGAGCACACTGCACAACCTGCAGGCAACTCAGCAGATTAGAGTGTCCCTTCCAGGTTCCTGGGTTGGTTTAAACCCCTTCCAGCAGCTGGTCTACTCCCAGTCTTTTGTGCAGCACCTTGTCACTGAGAGGGACTGGCAGCTTTTATTGCTTATTCTAAAGGGGGGTGGGGCTCTGGTTAGTTTCAGGGGTTCCTGAGGTAATTTTGATTTTTTTGTTGTTGTTGGTTTTTTTTCTGTTTTTTGAGACAGGGTTTCTCTGTAGCTCTGGCTGTCCTGGAATTCACTCCAGGACAATTCAAGACCAACTGGCCTTGAATTCAGCATCTTCATCCCCCCCCCCAAATTCTGGGATTAAAGGCATGCTTTTTCTGAAGATTCTTGGTTATGCTCACTCTTGGCTCCCGGGAGGGCAAACAGTCAGGTCTCTGGTGCTAGAATTCAGAGCATCTAAAGTGGTACTTTTGGAGATGTCCTCTCACCTGTCCCCAGCACATTCACACCTCTTGTTTAGCGTTTGAGCTGTCTTTGTTTTGAGCTATGCTTTACTATAGCTTGCCTCACCTGAAAACCTTGATCTTCCTGATTGGGGTGTTGACATCACTCCTGGAACAGACATCTGGATCTGGTACCTCTTTGTCTCTGACTTCTGTCCTCTTCTCCACTGACAAAAACAGATTTACCCTTCCTGTGGATCAGGAAGAGTGCACTGATAAGGCAAGATGCTGTGCTGTCCGACAGAGACCAAGTCTGAGTGTGCAGGACTGGCTGGCCTCCAGCTCTCAGCCATCCTCTTGCTCAGTCTCTCCAGCGCTGACCTGCCCACCATGTGATGCTCACCCTCTTTTGTTATGTGAACATTCTAGCCCTGGAATCATTTCCACAAAGTTCAGAACAGTGAACTATGAACTCAAGAGTGGGCAGCGATCCGAAGCCTGGGAAGCTGGTTATGGGCATCCTGCTGGTACTTTTAAACTTGTAGCTCAGGCTGGGGGTTTGTTTGTTTGTTTGTTTGTTTGTTTTTTTATGGGGATTTTGTGATTTTTTTTGTTTGTTTGCTTGTTTTGTTTTTGTTTTTCGAGGCAGGGTTTCTCTGTGGCTTTGGAGGCTGTCCTGGAACTAGCTCTTGTAGACCAGGCTGGTCTCAAACTCATAGAGACCCTCCTGCCTCTGCCTCCCGAGTGCTGGGATTAAAGGCATGTGCCACCAACGCCCGGCTAGGGGATTTTGGGATTGATTTTTAAAGACAAGTCTAGAGTAGCTCAGGGTGAACTGAAACCCTGGTGTAGCCAAAGCTAGCCCTACAGTCCTGATTTCCTCTGCCTGGGTTTACAGGTGTGCCACCACTCCTAGGTCTGGTATCTGTTTAAGGTGTTCCCTTCCTCCCTCTTCCCTCCCTCCCTTCCTCTCTCCTCTCTTCCTTCTCTCTATCTTCCTACCCCTCTCTCTCTTTCTCTCAAGACGTAACAGCCCTGGATGTCCTTGAATTTGCTCTGTAGACCAGGCTGACCTTGAACTCAGATCCACCTGCCTCTGCCTCCTAAGTGCTGGGATTCCAGGCATGGGCCACCAGGCCCGGCTGTTTATGGTTTTTCCAATTCTGTTTGAGGATGTGAAGAAGAGGGACTGTGGCTAACACACCCTCCAGCACTTATACCCCTGTGTTTGACAGAGTCTGCCGAAGGTTATAGATGTGAACGCTGTGGAAAGGTATTTACCTACAAATACTACAGAGATAAGCACCTCAAGTACACTCCCTGTGTGGACAAGGGGGACAGGAAGTTTCCATGCTCTTTCTGCCAAAGATCCTTTGAGAAGAGGGACCGACTGCGGATCCACATCCTACATGTCCATGAGAGGCACCGGCCCTACCTGGTGAGCACTTGGTGGTTTGATGTTGGTCTTCAGATTCTATTTTCACACACCCCTAGCCTCCTGAGCACATGGAGAGGGGCTCTCAGGACTGACTAGAGGATTCGATGTCTGTCTGCCTCACCATGGTACTGTGGGAGAGGCAGATGTGCAAGCCATGAGCCTGGCTCAGGATTTGTGCCAGGACAGGAGGAGAAACACAGAGGCAGGCTTGGGCTCCTGGGTTAGGAAACACGCCCCAAAAGAGGAGTGCAGTCAGACTCTTGGTACACCAGCCCCCAGATGATGACATGGAAACTTATTATTAATAATGAAATCATGGCTTTTAGCTCTTATAACTTAATTAACCGCTTTTATTACTTTACATTCTGCCACGGGCTTTCACCTCTCTCCCATTCTGTATGTTTGACTTGCTGGCATCTCCCAAGTGACTAGATTCATCCCAAGTTCCTCTCTTTCCCTGGAAGTCCTGCCTTTTCTCTCCTGCCAGCTATTGGTCATTCAGCTCTTTATTAAACCAATCAGAAGGTGTCTTAGGCAGAAACACATCTTCACAGTGTACAAAAAGATTATCCCACAACAGAGAAGACCTGGGGTTGTCTAGAACAGAGGGGCCATGGTTTGTACTGGAGGCTGGGAAAGCAATTAGGCAACTGTAAATCTTTTTCACATCCACTCAGTTATTAGGTAGTCATAGCTGCAGAGGAAAACCATTGTCACAGACCATGGTCTTGTAAGGATGAGAAGCAGCAATGATGCCAGTGAGCCCTTCACTTCCATCCCAGGCACCTATTGCTCTCTCTACCAGGCTTTGTCAGAAGGACAAAAATAAGCTTTGTCCATAAAGAAAGGATGGGGCTACATGCTTTTGTTACAGTACTTTTAAAGTTATGTGTATATGTGTGGGTTTGTGCACATGAGTACAGTACCCTGAGAGGTGAAAAGAGGCTATTGGGTCCCCTGGAATTGGAGTTACAGAGCCACACTCCATTAGTGCTCAAAACTGAACCTGGGTCTTCTTCAAGAGTAGTTCATGCTCTTAACCACCAACTCAACTCTCCAGCCCCTTTTAGTACTATTTTATAAGGCATTTTATACTAATGCTAAGATTTGTAGTTTTCCACATTTCAATATTTCTGAGTTGGACCATGCTCTGCAACTGGGCCATGATTTTAAATTCTTTTTTGGTTTAATCCGTTTTTTAAAAGTGTTTATTTTTATTTTATGTGAGTGTTCTGCCTGTGTGTATGTGTATCTTGTGCACTCAGTTGCTTCCAGAGACCAGAAGAGGGCCTCGGATCCCCTGGAACTAAAGTACAACTGATAGCCCGTTGTGAGCCACCATATGGGTGCTGGGAATCAAACTTAGGTCTTTAGCTAGAATAGCAAGTGC